CCTGTCCATCAGAGCCCGGCATCTCCGCCACTCGCTGCCGCCGCGGAGCCAGCTTCCTCTTTGGGCCGCCCCCGCACACGCCCATTAAATCAGGCGCGTTTGGCCAGCAGCAAAGGCCCGAGGGGTTTTGGTAAAACCAGAGCGGGGCTGTGGCAGGGACCTCCCAGCCCGGGCGGCCGCTCCCTTTGCCCCTAGGCACCTGGGTGCACCTGGGTCTGGAGCTATTGTCCTGGGCCAGGCACTCTGGAGCCAACTTGTTGTGCAAATATAGCAGCTCAGCCCCTTTGGAAATGCAGATTTATAATAACAGGCCCAAAGCCAAGCACTCCTGTTCTTTTGCTTTGCGTCTGTACCAAACTTAGGTCCACACCTTTTTTGAAACAGCTTATTTCTTTTTTCTTTTTGGTCCTTTTGAGACAGGGTCTCCCTGTGTAGCCCAGGCTGGCCTTGAACTCACAGCGATCCTCCTGCCTCAGCCTCCCCTAGTGCTGGGATTCCAGGTGTGCGCCACCACGCTCACAAGGCACCTTACTTCATTGGGTTCATCTGTTCAATAAATACAGCATATCTGTCTGAGTGTGCTGCTGGCTACTGTCCTGTGTCCGGGAGCTACAGCCTTGAACAAGTTGTAGTGAGAAGAAAATATCTTTTAAAAATAAGCACAGGGGCTGGGGATTTAGCTCAGTGGCACAGCGCCTGCCTGGCAAGCATGAGGTCGTGAGTTCGATTCCTGGTACTGGGAAAAAAAAAAAAAAAAAAAGCACAGTCAGGCATGCGGGGAGGGCTCCAGGCGGGAGGATCACTGCAAATCTGAGGCTAGCCTGAGCTATTACAGGGATGTACCACCACACTTGGCTCATAAGCTGTGGTGACCCTCCTGCCTCAGCCTCCCAGACTGCTGGGACTACAGGCGTGCATGGCCGCTATGCCTGGATTCAAGCGCGTGAGCTCACTACACTTGCACTTCCTGAGCGGTGTCTCCCTTATTCTGCAAGATGTTTTTTTTTCCCTGCAAGACATTAATAAGTGGACCCTGAGAGGCAAGACGTGGTGGCAATGCCTGTAATCCCAGCCCTAGGGAGGCTCAAGCTGGACGATCGCTGAGTTCAGGGTCAGCAGAGTGAGTTCCAGGCCAGCCTGGACGACACAGCGAGACCCCCTCTCAAAGGACAACCAATAAAAACCCCTGAGACAGCTGGCATGGAGGCCAGGGCTGCCGCCTAGACCTCCGGAGGCGCGGGAGTCAGCCGTGTGTGGCCCAGCCTGGGGCTCCCTGCTCATCCGCGGAGGGGCTCAGCTCCGGGTGCCCTCAGGAGAAGGTGTGGGAGCTTTGGGACAATTTGTAAAGATGACGCGGTAGACCTTGCCGCACTTTGGAGTCAACACTATTCCAGCCTGGTGTGGTGGTGCACGCCTATCGTCCCAGTACTCCGGGAGGCTGAGGCGGGAGGATTGCACGTTCAAGCCCAGCCTGGGCAATTTAACAAGAACTTTTCTCAACAATTAAAAAAAAGACTCCTACTCCCTGGGACTCTGATGAGAATGAGGGGTCCCATCCCTAGGACCCCACCTTCTGCACACTGCTGTGGGCACTCCTTTCCTGCAGGGCCCCCGGCGGCCCCGTGGGAGCCCTGGCTGTGCGGCCCTGTCGGGTCTGAGGACGGTGGGACATGGGGACCCCTGGGGCGGAGGTAGGAGGGCAGGCCTGTGGGGTTCTGACACAAGACTTTTGCGGGTGCACCTTGTCCTCAGAACAGCCAGGTTGTTTCAGAAAATCTCAGGCTCAGATGTCTGGTGCCTGAGTCCTGGGGTTGCAGCCTGTGTTGGGGACCGGGTCTCTCAGAACAGGGAAGCGCAGAGCCCAGGAACGGGGGCCGGGAGTGGGGGGAGCCATGCCCTTTCTAAGTCTTTCTGTAGTATTTTTCTTTTTCTGTTTTTTTTTGGGGGGGTACTGGGAATCAAACTCAGGACCTTGCACTTGCCAGGCAGGCGCTTGTGCCGCTGAGCTCTATCCCCGGCCCATGTGGCCCTGTGGTATTTTTCTTTACGGGGGTACTTGGGACTGAGTCCAGGACCCGGAGCTGCATCCCCAGCCCCTTTCATTTTGAGACAGGGTCTCACTAAGTTGTCCAGACTGGTCTCAGACTTGGTGATCCTCCTGCCTCAGCCTCCCGAGTAGCTGCGGGTACCAGGCACACTGAAAGAAGTGGGGCTTAGTCCTGGCGAGACACCTGGGAATGCAGAGAGCACATGGGGGTGTGAGCAGGCACGGGGTAGAGGGGGAGGCAGCGCCTCTCTGGAGGGTTTTCAGGAGAGTTCAGGTGCGGAGAAGCTCGGAGACGTCACCCTCGCCTTAATCATTGCCTGAAGCACCGTCCCAGATCATTCTGTGACAGTTGTCCAGACCTCTGTGCCGGGCGCTGGACCTCGAATGCCTGCCCTGTCTGCCCGGAGCACCTGGACCTGCGGCTGTGGGCCTCGAGTCTGGTGAATCAGCCACGCCGTTACTTGTTACTGGTTTTTTGAGACCTGGTCTCTCTACGCAATCCAACCTGGCTTTGAACTCACAGCGATCTGCCTGCCTCAGCCTGCCAGGTGCTAGGATTACAAGTGTGTGCCTCATGGGGGCTGGGGATTTAGCTCAGTGGCACAGCACCTGCCTGGCAAGTGCAAGGTCATGAGTTCGATTCCTGGTACCGGGGAAAAAAACAAAACAAAACAAGTGTGCACCTCCACCCTGGGCTCACCCCCTATATTCTTATGAGACTTTTATTTTATGTGTGTGTCTGTATATTCTACCAGTTGCTAGTAGAGGAATCTCACTGGGCGTGGTGGCACACACCTGTGATCCCAGCACTTGGGAGGCTGAGGCAGGAGGACTGCTGTGAGTTCGAGGCCAGGCTGGTATGTGTATTGAGACTCTGTCTCAAAAAAACCTAAATATATAAGCAGAGGTATACACACCTGTAATCCCAGCATTCTGGGAGGATGAGCCAGGAGGATCACATGTTCAAGTACAAGCTGGGATCTATTTTTGTTTTTTTGTTTGTTTGTTTTTGTTTTTCTTCCGTTACCGGGAATCGAACTCACGACCTTGCGCTTGCCAGGCAGGGGCTGTGCCGCTGAGCTAAGTCCCGAGCTCCCGTCTATTTTTGTCTTGATCACATGTCTGCAGCACATAACAACTGCATTTACACTGGGGAGTTGGTGCTCGCACATCACACATCTCAGTTCCTCTCGCCCTGCCCTCCCCTCCCCCTCACTCCATTCCCTTTACATTTGTGAAAGGTCTCTCTCCCTGTTTCCTGTGATCTGTCTTTTATTTTGCCATGTAATTTATTTGCATGTGGGGTTTCTCATATAAAAGAAACCACGCAGTACTTAAATCTGTGTGTCCGATTTATTTCACATAACACTGCGGTCTTAAAGCACATCCATTTTTTCTGCTAATGCCTCCAGTTTATCCTGCTTGAAGGCAGAGTAGTATTCCTCAGTGTGTAAATACTACAGGTTCTTCATCCATTCCTCTGTGGACGGACACATAGGCTGCTTCCAAGATTTAGCAATTTTGAACTGTGCGGCTATAAACACTGGTGTGCATGGATCAATGTAACATGGTGTCTTTCCCTTCAGGAAGATTCCTAGAAGCAGAATAGCTGGGTCAAATGGAATTTCTAGTTTTGGATTTTTGAGGAATCCCCACACAGATTTCCACAGTGGCTGCACTAGCTCACATTCCCACTGACAGAGCAGAAGGATTTCTTTTGCTGCACAGCCTCACCAATTCACCAATCGAATTTGTTATTATTCGATTTTGTTTTGTTTGTGTGGTTTTCTGAGACAGGGTCTCAGTATGCGGTTC